CACTTAGAAGCTTATTTTATGCACCGAATTTCTTGATAAATAAATAAAGTTAATGGTTAAAAAATGCACTTTAGAATCGATATTTTTATGTGAGGATACTTAAGGATCGAGCCGTCCATCCCTATTAACTGCTTTCATTGATTCAACGTGACTAATAAACACACGACTACGGCAATATATGGTTTATCTGAGTTTGTCTTATTATAATGTTTATTATAATAAAGTATATAATAATGCAATGCTAATCGACATAGCCTTTATCTCTGCTTAGAATACTATGCAATGTGTTGCATGCCTTATTCTGTGTAAGAAGACACATCATCTCACAGAAGGATTTACTTCAAACACTCGACTGACTTTATGAAGTGAGTTTGGAGTAAAACATGTTATTAAATGTGGTATTTTCACGTGCGTTCAGATGGATCAGTATTTACTACACAGAGCCGTAGTTCACTGACAAGCTACGCAAACAGCTTTCATAATCGCAGAATGATTTCTTCGATTTCATAATCGTGCGATTAAATCGTCTGTGATTATGAACGCGATTTTGTGTAGCTTGTCGGTGAACTCTGTGTAGTAAATGCTGCTCCATCTGAAAGCACTGCTAAAAAAAATTCCGTCAATTTTGGAAAATTTAGGTTAACGCGTCCTCTGGTATTTTGGTACCTTGATAAATTGTACATACATAAATAATGAAATTAGGAGGCAACTGGGCTGATTGTCACACTTTTTAGCCCTGACAATATTTCACAGGCTTGATTTATTTTTAAAAGTAAATTTCTGGATAGGGACACACGTTATTGTCTTGACAACAATGGGAACCTGCAATTAAATATCCATTTACTAGATTTTCATTAAACTTGAAACGAAACAGCAAAGATGGAAAAAATAACACGAGATTACATGAAATTGTTAAACTATTATTTTGGCCAACAGAAATTGTAATTAATGAATTATATGTGATTGTAACAGATTAGAAGTATCAGATAGATTAGAAGTATTACTTTGGTTGAGACTTGATTTTGAAGGGCTGACTTAGGGTATTTTCACAAGGTCTCACTCACAAACCTGTGAAACGAACCGTCAACGGGTCGCAGTGAAATCTCAAATTGTTATCATGACTTAGGCTAACTCATATGAGGGATTTGTAATATTTGGGACTTGCAGTGTGTATAAATGTGCGATTGCCTTATTTAAAGCAAAATAAATAATTTCCAATTTCATCGATTTTTCAGTCTTTCCATAGTGTTACATTTATTAAACAATTATAGGTGTAGCATAATTAACAATAAATACGTATTTGATCAATTAAATGAATTTATGACACAACACATGCCAACAGGCCTAGTTAATATATAGCATGTCATATTGGTTTTACTTAAAACCTCAATCCTTTTAGTTACTGACATACAGCCATTGTAACAACTTCCTCATGTGACAACCAGCCCTGATTTCCCATGTAGATTTAATAGACATTTATATGAAGCCATTTTAGTTACACTTTCTGCAGCGAGTCAATATCTAGTTACACAAAAAGCATTTTCCCTCTTAGATATACCTCAAGTCCCATGACAGCCTCCTTGAGGTTTTCATATCCACAGTTTTTGCCTCTGAAACAGCATGCCAGAACACTTAAGGATAATAGTCTATCTGTATTTTTAAATTTCGGTCTTAACCAAGCTAAACAACTGTACCACATAATTTTTCATGTGTCTAAAGTTATTTGTTTTCTTTATTGCATTTATACACTAGATTAATTAACTGTGATTAGATGTGCACAAACTAAAATTTCTAAACTCCTAATTGTGTTACAAAATTAGGAGGAGCCAAGGATTGATGTTCTTATCAACAACGCTGGTCTCTACCAGTGTCCCTACAGTAGGACAGAAGAGGGCAATGAAATGCAGTTGGGAGTGAACCACCTGGGTCACTTCCTTCTGACAAATCTTCTGTTGGACCTCCTGAAGCAGTCGGCTCCCAGCCGTATCGTCATGGTCTCCTCCAAACTCTACAAGTATGGCAGCATCAACTTCGAGGACTTGAACAGCGAACAGAATTACGACAAAGCTTTTTGCTACAGCCAGAGCAAGCTTGCCAACCTACTGTTTACTCGCGAGCTGGCCCGCAGGCTGGATGGTACTGGGGTATCTGTAAATGCCCTCACTCCTGGTATCGTAAGGACCAGATTGGGCCGGCACGTCAACATCCCCCTGCTGATTAAGCCTCTTTTCTTGCTGGTCTCTTGGTTGTTCTTCAAAAGCCCACTGGAGGGTGCTCAGACCCCACTGTACCTGGCATGCTCGCCTGAAGTTGAGGGTGTGTCTGGAAAATGCTTTGCTAATTGCGAAGAAGAACAATTGATGTCTAAAGCCACGGAAGACTATACTGCTAAACGGCTCTGGGACCTGAGTGAGAGCATGGTGGGGCTTAGGAGGTGAGGGGAAGAAGCAGAACCATTCTTCACAAATGTGGCAATTGCAAACCTCGAACATCAGTGCATTGGATTTTTGGGGAGTGTTTTTGGCCAAGTACCCAAGGGACTTACTGGATAAGGGACAGATAATTAAAATGTCCATCTGTTCCCTGTATCTTTGCTGCAGTGTTTTCAGAGATGGCCTCAGGCTTGTGACTCACTCTTCTCTGTGAATGAGAGCCTGAAAGTGTTGAGTTCGACATATCCCTTGAATACAAATGACAGGAGCAACGTGCCCAAGAAACATATGGCTTAGAGCTAACATGAATACAGAATAGCATGTACACCACTGCATATCTCTCGATGTAGATTAACTGGTGATTTGTGACCAAGTTATTACAATACATCAAGATAGTTTAATGTTGTTCAACAATTAATTTGACAGACCTATTCTTCTATGAAGTGAACTAGTCACAATTTAGCCTCCCAGAATATCATCTTCTCATAAGGCTGTGGAATAAACCTGGCAACTCCCACCCTGTGACTAATTTCAAGATGGATTTGAAAATGTTTGTGACATTCCAGTGTCCAAACAAAATCAAAAAGGAAACACATAGGTTGTGGCTCTTCATATAGTGTGGTGTCACTACTCAAACAAAAAAGTGAATCAGCGTAATGGCTGCATAAATTTCATTACCTCCAATATATACCTCTGTGCATTAGCTATTATTAGATAAATTTCATGCGCAGTGGAGCTGTAGGGATTTTACTGGCTACTGTCCTTAATCACACGCACTAACATGAAATGTTTTGAGTGTAAATGCTGCGCTTCTGTTATTCTGTGAAGACTGAATAAATTGAATGCTGGAAAGAAACTCTGTCATTTGTGGAGGAGGACCAAGGTCCTTCCTTTGTATGCTGCCATTCACATACAACAATGAAACATTTCATGCAGGAAACAGAACACCAGATTATAAATTCTTCCCAATACACCTCAGCAGCAAGTCTAGCTCTCCAACAGTGAAGGAAACAAAAAAGGGAGTTAAAGAGACAGACATGGTGCAACTATTGTGCTTTATTAGATATAGAAAGCGAAACAGAGTCATGCATCATTGTGTCAACTGACACAGGATCCCAGCTGATTAAGAAAGAAGAGAGGGATTGAATCGTGAGGTAGAGAGGGCATGAGGGAGGGGCTTACAGCACTGAGGAACAAAAGAGAGAAAACGTCAAAAAGAACAATCACCTCAGAAATTCCATCGCCCAACAAAACACATCAGGAGTTTTAAAAAATGCCCATTGCTTTCAAGATGTACTTGTTTGATGGTGTAATAGATTTAAGTAGTATCAAATCTATTTGAAATAGAAATAGATTAAAGTTTCACTTTAGTTGAGACTTGATCTTGAATGGCTGACTTAGGGTAATATGAATCCATGCAGAGTTTATTCTCAAAAATATTTTCACAAGGTCTCGCCCACAAACCTGTGGAACGATCTGTCAATGGGTCGTTGTGAAATCTCAAATTGTCATCATGACTTAACTTCATTTGAGGCATGTTTAATTGTTTGTAGCTTGTATAATTGTGCTGATTGCCTTATTTATAGCAATATAAATAATTTACAATTATATAGATTTTTGAATCTCTCCATAGTTACATTTATTATACAATTATAGCTATAGCATACTTAACAATAAATACAGCTATTCATAAATTATATAATAAAAGATCAAATTTCTTGTCAAAATTAGCATTTTTTTTACATAGCATGTGCTGTCCATTCACAACCTCTTATGAGCCCAGAAGGCTTTTGGTAAAACAAAGTAAATCTCTTCAGACAAGTTTCCAAAAATTCATAATGCACCTAATGCACTTAAAATACTTTCTCACAAACCACACAGAACCATTAATAAACTGTCAAAATAGGCTATACAAATAGTGCTGAATGATAGAGATTCATATTAACTAGAGACATTAGCAATTTATGTTTGATGTTTAGAAAACACTGTAAGAGATACAGAAATAGAGAGAAAAATGATAAGAGAGCTGATGCACTGAAAATATTCAACAGAAAATCCCATCATGTGTTTGGCTCAAACTGTAGCTTAACATTCAAAACCTACTGACAAAAGAGAGTAACTGAAACCCTGCTCTAAGTTTAGTAAAGTACCGTAGAGCTGTAAAAGAGAGTAACCAGGAAATTCTGCTCTTAGTTTAGTAGAGTACCACAGAGCTGTAAAAGAGAGTAATAAGGAAACTCTGCTCTTAGATTAGCAGAGTATCACAGAGCTGTAAAAGAGAGTAACCAGGAAACTCTGCTCTTAGTTTAGTAGAGTACCACAGAGCTGTAAAAGAGAGTAACCAGGAAACTCTGCTCTTAGTTTAGTAGAGTACCATAGAGCTGTGCCTTGGTGAGACTGTCTTTACGTGACAGCCCTAGTGTGCCAAATTTTTGGTACGGCTGTTGTGGAGGAGGTGGTGGAGTTGTTCCCTGAGGGGACATGCTGTGCCTCTCGGGTTGGTAATGCTGCAGCTCGGCAGCCATCTCCAGAGATCCATGGTCCAGTGACTCATTTGAACTGTTGGGACTTATGTCAACGTACTCTGTTGCCTGGCCCCCGGCTGCCACCCCACCATCCTTGGGGCTGTAGAGGCTGTGCTCCGACTCTTGGCTATCCTCCTTGGAGCGGTACAGGTGAGGTTGGCTTTGCTGCTGCTGTAGGCCTGGACTGCACTCAGGGCTGGGGCTAGAGAAGGGATCTAGTACCCCACCATGATGATGGTATACATCAGTACCCTCCTGGAAGCTACTGTAAAGAGGACCAAGGCGAATTTTTGCAGGCCGGACAGAGAAGTGCTGCTCAGAGAAGCTGTAGGGTGAGGCCCGCCCAGGACTGCGGTATGAGTGGGCACTCAGATCTTCCACACTCAGTTGCCGCCACCGACCAATCAGCTCTTCTTCCTCAGGAGCAAAAGCACTTCCACGCCGACTGTCACCATAAGTGATGCTGGGTGAGGTGGAAGGTGGCAGGGGCTCATAAGGTTCACTGTAACAGGAGGACATTGTTCTACTGTAGATGGGTGAGCTACCATTCTGATGGTGGCTGGACTCAGGCGGTTGAAAAGTGTGGCCCTTGGAAAAGGCGCTTGGACTCTCCCTCTCCCAGGAAGAGTCACTCTTGTGCTCGTATTCACCCCCATCCCTCCAGTCCATGTAAAGGGCTTGGTGGTGTGGAGAAGAGGCAGCACTGCTTGGGGGATCCTGACCCTTGTCCTCTGACCCTCCTCCACTAAAGCTGGAGTAAGAGCTAGAGCCTCCTCCCAGAGAGGTTGTAAACTTTCTTAAGTGGTCCTGGGAGAAGCCGGGCTGCAGGGACATGGATCCTTCTTCTGGGTTGCTATCAGTGGAGTTCTGGGGTTCATACACTGTCCGCTGTCCATGGAGGTCCATGCTGGGTCTGCGCTCTCGTCTCCGTTCATCAGGGCAATAAAGTGCTGTGTCACTACTGTACTGGTCTGATTTGTAAGTAGCTCGGAGGCCAAGGCGCTCCGTGCTACCCACAAGGCTTGTGCCCACAAGGAAGCCCTGGCGTTCCTGGGGTTGTGGGCTGGGTGAGTGAGAGGCTTGACTGCTGCAGACCTCGTCCGGTTTCTCCAGGACCTTAGCAATGACAGAGGCAGGCACTGTGTCGGCATATGGGGAGTGGCAGAGGGAAGAACCCTCCATGTGCAAGCTTACACGCTCCTGAAACTCTGCAGGCAACTGAGAGAGAGTAAAACAGATTTCCATTAGATGGACCAAATGAACAATAGGAGTTGAGAGACTCGCACACTAAGAGAAAAATGTAGGCTCTTATGGAATCCTATTTTGGAGGGATAAGAGGGAATAATAGCTTAGGTGAGGTCAGTATCCTTAAGAGGCAGTAAGAAACATACAAGAAAGAGATCGGTGAATGGAATCAAGGTACCCAGTGAACACGGAAGTACATTTGCAAAGCAGACAGCCAAAGATGTTGTTAAAGGCCAGTATTAAATCTTCAGACAAGTCTGTACTAATGGTCTATGTAAGTACATGGTTTTTAGTATTTCATTTAGCAAAAATTGGTCAGAGGGAAGAACCACCGATTTCATTGCCACTGACACTACACACGGAGTACTTGGCAACAATCCAATATCACAGCTTTTTTTTACCTCTCATTTCTTTCACCATAGCAACGAGAAGAAATTAAATTGCAGCTAATTAGCTAACAGAACATGTCTAATTATAGAAACATAATAAGAGGAGCCAGACGAAGCAAAAACTGTATTCCTTCAAAATCAGTAGGGTTGGTCTCGGTTCAACAAATCCAATTTGATATCTAATTCATACCAATTTGATATCTAAACATCTGTTGACCTTCTGAGTGTAGTTGCTTCTGAGACTTTTTGGGCTGCTTTTAAAGAAATTTTTAAGGTTATTCAGAAACTCGATTTTTCCTTATAACCACGAGACACCTTGTCCAGCTATCTTAATGAATGCTTAGTGCCAAATCTTTGGCATTTTCATATAAAACAATATGCAAGGCTGAATTCCTTGACGACACTGTGTAACCGACACATTGATGTTTCCATTCAAATATATCTGACAAATATGAACAGGTTTTTACAGCAGGCAGCATTCCAACATAAGTCTCTGTTCCAGACATCATGGGAATGGCATAAGGCTTGAAGCAGATTTGAAGAATAAAATGCCAGGTTTATTGGCACACTATAACTTAAACATCATCCCACTTTTACCTTGCCAGAAGAGTCACCCATTCTTAATTGGGACATAACCTCAATATTTATTTAAACATGAACTTGATTTACTATGGTTGACCTAAATATTAGTAGATCCCACTAAATAAAAAGAATCCTGCTTTATGATTTCCTACAGTCTTTCAAAAAAAGTTTACTGGCTAAATTACATTGCACTAAAGGGGATAGTTGAGTTTATTTAGATAAAATATATTTTAAAAAAGAGATTGTGTGGCTATATCCAAATAGGCTATATAAAGACCTTGGAACAGAAGTTGTGCTATAAATAACTATTATCCAACACATTGACAGACCAGGTTGTACATTTTCTGTTATGCTCTTTTGTTATTCATTGTTGTTAAATAGAAATATGCAATTACATTTCAGAATGTATATTTCATTTTTAGATACTCAATATTAGCATTTTCAAAAATTAAACATGTTTTCCTACAGTAGAAAATGCGTGGCTTGCTTAAACCATTTTTACCTGTGGGAAGTAAACTCAGCTCATACGGGGTACAGTAGCCTACCATAGAAGCAATAATGGTAATGTTATGTTATTTTATTTTTTGCCTGTTAGCATCCCTTGTTATGTGAATGTTTCTAAAATAAGGAAACTTACCTTATTTTTATCTGTCATGAAAGAATGCTAAGATGGTCCATTATAACGGCGAAGTACTTTTTTTTTCTTAAAATTTTTTTGTGCTTTTGTTTTAATTTAAAGATGTATTCCTGTCTTTTTGAAATATGCTCTGTTCAAGCTCAGGAATTAAATTGATTACAATCATTCAATTGTAAGTACATTTATTAATTATAATGAATCGACACAATATCAAGAAAATGAACAGGATAGAACCTAACAGGATGGAAAAGTTTTTGAAAATGTCTACCAGTTAACGAGAAAGAAACATTCTTATAAAATCATGGTTAATTAAAAAATATGTTGCCTAGAGAAAGGAACTAACAGGTTTTTCATGTCACAAATTACTGCATACTGCAGCACCCATAAACAAAACAATAATGACAACATCTACTCAGCAAGGTTTGTGTGCCAACTTACCTCAGATAACTGGGCTCTGTAATGTGACTTATTACACTGCAAGAGCTGTGCA